CTTCACTGGCATCGGTGGCTTCAACGCGGACCTTATTACCGGTGATATAAGGACTAATAGAACCCGCTAACCAATTACCACTGCCATCACTTAACCATTCGACACCAAAGCCATATTTTATGCCTAGACCACCTTGATCCATTGGCGTCTTATCTTCAATCCGCACATAGGTCGCTCCAGGGGTACCAACATAATCCGTGAAATCTGCTTCGGCGTTTACAATAGCGCCATTGACGTCCAATTCACCGTAGCTAATATTAAAATTAATAAACAACTTACCGAGGTTGATGGCATCCTGCATATAGCCGCCACCACGAATATCTTGACCGCCTTGACCACCAAGGTCGATGATATCGTTGCCGGCACCTAAATGAACGTCATCTTTCACGTAAGTAGCAATGGATTGGCCAGCTTCATAAGCAGTGACTTGTGTCTGCAAGCTAGTCAAATCAGGATATTGAAGAAGTAGATCTTGCATAAGACCACCAATGGTGGCATATAAAGGATGGTCGGCAGCAAAGGTTGCTTCCCCATCAGTGCCCAAAATCACATCGTGGGTACGCTCATTATCGTAGTAGCGTACACGCACACACCAATCATCCATATTATTTGGGTCATAGCGTAATTCGACGTTATCTGGGTGGGTATCTACTAAAATATCTGTATCTACCGTAGCGGTGGTAATTGGAGTGTTATTGTTCAATAAGCTTAAATCACTGCCTATCTCCATAGGATCAGATGTGGAACTATCTGCATAATTGATCATGTAGCCGGTGCCTGAAAGCAAATCAATAGCACCAAAATGGCTGCCATCTTTAAAACCAATGGCTTCAACATCATGCAGCACATCGATGCCGGTACCGTATAATTCGTCTGGTATCAAGTGCTCAACCTGAACATAATAACCATCGTTATAATCAAACAAGCACCTGTATCAGGAGAAATATTATCAGTCTGAGAATACCACTGACTAACACTATCAGTGGCCAAATAGGTGGTTAAATCAATCGTTGCATTCCCTTCCACTGCGTATAACTCGGTACCATCATAAATAGTTACTTGCTGTTGGAAGTCAGCCAAACTGATAGCCTCACCATCATCCAACAACTTGTTGTTGTTGGCATCATGGAAATAAGAGATTCTATAGTCGCCAGCGCTCTTATTGTTGTAACGAACATAATCGATACCAAGACCAGTCTCGATATAATCATCACCGTTATCAATATCCCATTTGGCAGGAAATTCATTGAATACTACAACGCCACCTGTGTTCACACTCAGGTAGTCATCACCACCTCTCAAGGATACGGCAACACCTGTGGCCTCAACTGGCGCAACGCCATAGCTGTCTAGCAAAGTTTGATCAATAACATCATCAAACAAACTATCTTCCACCCACAGCAAATCCATTCCTTCATATGTAAACCACTCTAAACTTGGCGTGATTGCTAGTGGTAACTTGATGTTATCTTGAGTTCCGGGAGCTTTAACTGAAATTTGTTCAAAATCGTATAGGCGATTTGTACCGTAACCGGCGACACCTGCCTGACTTGGAACGTGAGTAATTTCAACATAATCCGCTCCACTTTCATCAGTCCCTTGAGTAAGCATTAAATCTTCTAGTGGTACTTCAATGCGGAATAAATCATCGGCATTAGACGAGATAGACCAGTCATCGTTATTTGCTAAACCATAAATAACATCATCACCAAATGATGCGTCAACCGTACGATACGGCAAATAGGTCAGATCAAAGTTAACGACATCGTTAGTCGGTACCGTGAAGGCATAGTCATTGACGTTGTGCGGAGAGAGTAGCTCAGCAATACTGATCTCTTCATCCATGTTCGCCGTGCCAATCGATATTCCAGGAATACTATCTAGGGCATCGTCATTGATATTCACCCCTGGATAAATACTGTCATAAAAAAGATCCATTTCTGGAACCAGGGCAACTTCGCTACCCCAATCTTTAAATTTCACATATTCTATATCGACTAGAATATCTCGACCTTCGTTAGATGAGCTAGTATCCAACGAAGTTACTACGTGAGCTTGTTGGTAGCTAGAATCAATTTGAGTTGACGCTTCAGCGATAACCTGGTTATTTACAAGCTTCACCCAAGTGGTACTAATTTCATAATAATCACGGTTATTGTCATAACGTGCTTCATCCCCATAACCGACGTTACCACCACCAATAATTAAATCATCGCCTGCGCCACCGCTAAATTGATCATCGGCATCGGTACCGATCAGCACATCATCACCTTCAACGCCATGCAAGCTGCATGAACCTTGGTCGATAAACTGAATCAAGCTCATATCTGATTCAAAATCAAATAATGTAAAGGCACCGTCCAATTCCACATCGGAAGTCGACGCCATCAATTTGCCATAGATTTGACCAGAAACTTCCGAACTTGACAGGTCTAAAGAACCCGCCTCAACAGCAGTAATAAAACTATCGAAGGTAGTGCTAGTGCCAACCACATGCACTATGTCTGCGTACTGGCCTGCATCTTCTACATAGAGATCAAAACTGTAGCTTGTATCAATAGGCATGTCCGCCATGAAAGACAGCTCTTGGGGCACTTCTCCTGCTGAAACCGGGCCAAATAGCAGAAAGTTATACATACCTGCTATTTCTGCCAGGTCCTCAGTTGACAAGGTAACAGTAATAGCCCCCCATCCTTCTGGTTGGGTATTAAATCTTGGACCATCTGCCTGCATAATGTCATCGGTGATAGAACCCTCGGCTCTATATACCAAATCACCTTCCACAATCTGGTTATCATCGCCACCCATATCATGCCAATAATCCCAGTATTCGTATCTAGCCGATTCTAAGCCCACCATCATATTGGACTGATTAGCAAAACTAAGGGAATGCATACCAATTAACAGGTCAGTACCATCACCACCCATTTCATCACTTAAGAAATCGGTAACTTTAACTGCCGCTTGTCGATTAGCCGCATAGCTTTCAAACCAAACAATTTCACCGGCAGCATCCACTACTAGGGCACCATCGACGACTTCCACAAAGCCATGCTCCACGGCATAGCGATCCATTGGACCCGAATACTGGGCCTGGTTTTCATTCCACCAATTAATGGGCGCATGGGGGGTTTTGTCCCAAAACACATCATCACCAGCACCACCAGTGAAACGCGTATTATCAACAAATCCAATAACGAAGTCATCGCCAGCGCCAGCTTCCACGCGACCAGAACCGACATCAACACCAGACTCATTTTGAGCACCCAGGCTAAGATCCAACACATCATCAAAGGGTGACAAACGAATACCGGCCTGTTGTATAATCTCGCCGTCAACGTCTTTTGTTTGGTCCCAAATATCTATGCCCAAGTTCATCCAATCATTGGGCACATTGATCTCATCAATATTGACCAATAGATCAATACCTGAACCGCCTTGATCGTCACTCACTAGATCTCGTACCACAAAGATGCTATCTGTAGTTCCACCGATATCTACGCTACGACCATCACCGGTAGTAATAACACCTGTCGCCAGTTGTGAGAGGTCATATATGAGTTCAGAGCTAGTATCGCCATCTACACTATAAACCTTCTCGCCGGCAGCCAGCTTCTGTACATCATAGCGCTCTAACTGGTTTTGATAGGAAACGTTATCCCATCCTGACTCATCATCGCCTGATCGATAGCCAACGTAGATGTCATTGCCTTGACCATCAAAGAAGTTGTCACTAGATTCCCCACCAACGGCTATATCGTCACCACCTCCAAGTTCAAAATCAACCAAGACCCTCATAGTCGACAAATCTGGAGCAGATTCTGGTAGTAGATCCTGCGCTACAACACTACTTTGAATTGAATCGGCAAACTCAGTTCCTTGAACCCTAAAGCTACCGACATCATCACCAGTATTTTGATTACCCCAGAAGCCATTTGTGAAAACCTGCAAATCAATACTGGTATCACTAAACTCAACCCGATCAATATTAGTTATTAACTTTTGCCCCCAGCCATCGATAACATTGGTATCGCTAAGCAGATAATAACTTTGGGAGGCATTGTAAACATAACTCTGCTCGGCAAAATGTTCTGTCATAAAGGCGTTTACATCAGCCTCACCAAACTCTCGATATTCAAAGTACCTGAGTCTACATCCAGCCTAACTTGATCTTGACGCTGCCACGAATCTCCACTGGTACCGCTAGCGCCACCATCAATGAAGTCGATACCTTTGCCTGGGCGTATTTCATCACCGCCACCACCGGATAGGATAAAATCATTGCCTTCTTTGGCATCAATCCAATTGCGCACATTGTGAGTTGTTGTGTCAGCTGTTTCTGTGACAATGACATCGTCGAATGCCGTGCCCTGCACATGAATTTCACGAATATAATTTACGTTATTCGGATCGCTCCAAGTATTTCATAGCTAGAAAGACCAAGATTCAGGCTACTACCATCAAAATAAACTTCTTCAACGCCCCAACAACAAATCGACACCATTGCCGCCGAACTGATCGGGCATCAAATCGCGTACTACAAAACCGCTGGTATAAGCGCCCACCTGTTGAACCGTGCCGTCGGCTTTAGTGATGTTGCCGTTGGCAAGGTCCGCAAGGTCAAACAGTACACTGCCATCAGAATCTACTACCGTATCACCGGCATTTATCTCTTCAATAACATAGCGGGACTGTTTGCCTTGATAGCTGACATTATCACGCCCAAACCACTGGTGGTTTTCTAATATGAGGTTTCCAGCTGCAGCAATGATATCGTTGCCAGCACCAGCATTTACGTTTAGAACCGGTATCATCACCTAGGTAAACGTCGTCACCTTCGCCATCATGATATTTTGTACGATACACCTCTTTTGCATTTCCTGACGCTTGGTGATCTGCAACCGTAGCCGCAACATCAATTACATCATCAAATCGCGTACCTTCAATACCGATTTCTTCAGCATCTAGTTCGCCGGCAACGTTGTGCCCCCACACATTATAGGACGTGTTGAGCCACACAGCTTCATCATCGAAGCCTAGGCGGTCGACATTCGTCACCAAAGTAGATCCAGTGTTTTGCACTGGACTTAAATCGGTTATCAAAAAGTAGGAATTATTAGCATCATAAGTGAGGCCTTTACCAGCAAAGTTGGTGGTAAAATAAGTGTTTACTTCTGTTTCATCAACAACCTTTAAATCATAGCGTGACAGGTTGCCAGAGAAGCGTACTACATCAGCATCTTGCCATCTGTCACCCGCAGTCCCTGAATCGCCACCATCTACAAAGTCATTACCGGCCATTTTAGATATACGGTCACCACCGGCACCAGCATCAATGTGGTCATTGCCAGCACCAGAATTTATCTCATCATAGCCAGTTCCGGAGGTAATCACGTCAGTAAACAAGGTACCTTCTATGTACTGACCAGCTGGTTGGCTGTCCCCGCGCCAATCAATGTCTTTTTGTTCCAGCTCAACATTCACACCTTCATCGCTAAAGCTTAAGAACTGTATGTTTTTAAGTACATCAATTCCTTCAGCTCCTGTAGTGTCATGAACAATAATGAACTCACCACTTTCCACAGCCACACGACCAAGCCCAAGAGAGGTGAGTAAATCAGCAAATGTCGCAGGGGTGTCCGTGGAATCGGGTTGAGCTTCTGCCCACCAATCAGTGATAGTTGTACCATTGACAAAAGTCGTTTCGGAGCCGTCAGTGACGGAGATTTTGAGTAGTGAAAAGTCTTCATAACGGCCGCTGTAACGCGCTTCGTTGTTATTACGCCAAGTGTGTTCGTCAGAATTACCACCCAAGCCACCGTCAAGATAATCATTGCCTGCTTCGCCAACCAAACGGTCACCGGCACGATAGTCATTTGGGTCAAAAACATCCAACCATAGAGCACCGGCAAGCTCGCCAGCACCAACATCAACTGGTTGATCAATCCACAAAGTTACTTCATAACCAGCTTCTCGCAATGTAGAAACTTGGGCTACAAAGCCCGCCAAATCTGTTAAAGCCGCTAAATTAATCTGAGCTAAGCTGGCATCACCGTTAGATGAGCCAGCGGTAACCATAGCATTTACTACCGAGCTATCCACCGTATCAGCAGTTTTAATCGTTACACCGTCGGCATTGGCCAAGGGAGCAGACATAACTTGCCCTAAGCTGACAGTAAGCTGTGTTGCAACACCTCCTGTTGGCATAGTGATGGTATCGTGATTACCACCAGCAACAATAATGCTAGCTTGCGCTACGGTACTAGTATCGCCACGAATGACGTCGTTACCATCACCACCATCTATACGGCTACCATAATCACTACCTTGCAGGTCATCATCGAGGATTCCGCCTTCAATTTTGTCTGCTCTGCGTGGACCACTGTCATCTTCCCACATCCACATATTAGTGCGTGCATCAAGAAAAACCTCTATGTAGTCTTTATCTTGGCCAAAGGTAATACGTTCAATATTGGTTAGGGTATCAGAGGAAACAACGGCGCCATCATTGGCCAAGTCCAAACGTTCGACAGTGACGCTACCATCACCATTATCAACAATGTTAAAGGCTTTAACATTTTCACCAGTAGAACGATTAAAGACGTATAGCGGATCATCATAATGGACCGTATCCATATCGTTCCACCAGTAGCCAGTATTACCGTTGCCACCACCATCAATAGTGTCATCACCGGCGGAGCCTTTAATGTAGTCACCGTCAGCAGTACCAGTAATCGTGTCGTCTTGTTCAGTTGCTTGGTCAATATAATTTGTCATGGTCGCCTCCCCCCATTTTGGGGATAAATCTATATATTTTTATACTATATAAATTTATTGCCAATAACAACGAAAACCGAAGATGGGAATTTGAGAAAACGACCTAATTATATATTTTCACATATCAAAAAATATATCGATTGGGATCCAAACACTTACACTATGGGCAAATACTATACTAAATGATAATTACTTGAATCACAGAATAGACAAATTGGCGCTATTGTCCACATCACCAAGCAATATAGCAGTAAAGTCAAGAAACTGATCAACGTCAACATTAGTCAGATTTGTGCCAGAAGAATAATTAACATTGTTGGCCGTTAAACCAGACACATCTAGATCTGAATTAACAAACACCCATTCAGGAGGATTATTAACTGTTAAGCCTATTGCGGTCTTAAGAATATCCAAGGCATCGTATACAGACACATCACCGCTTTTATCAATATCAGCTGCAATTAGCTGTTCAGCTGAGGTCGTGCCAGATGAAGGATTTAAACCAATAGCCATTTTTAAGGTATCTAGAGCATCATAAACTGTTACTGCACCACTAACAGCGGTATAGGCCTGATAGATTTCAACACCAATGTCATGCCCCGCTGCTATGGAAAAACCATAGCCTCCCTGCTCAGCAGCCGCAGAACCTAAGACGTCCCCTGCTACAGCACTATTAGTTAAACGCACTTCTGCAGCATCAAAAGGATTGCCAGAACGGTCTTGAATAGAGCCAGTGACGCTCACCTTGGGTGTAAGGTTCTCTACAATATTGGTCACCATGGCTGGTACCACATAACCGGCCAAATTACTGGCGTAGGTTTGGTATACAAAGGCATCGATATTATCGGATGCTACCAAGTAATTTAGCGACGCATCGTCGCCCACAACACCATTGCTATTAGCAGAAATTACCGACAGAGTATTGTTTTGGTGATCCAGCAGTAACAACTGGCCACTAATATCCGTACCATCCAAACTTGCACCATCGACACTAACAACTAAACTACTATCAGATACTGCTTCAATTAGGCTAATTGAAAAATCACCTGTCACATCAAGAGCATCAAGAGCTGTTGATACGCGCGTATTCACCCCGTTGGTGTAACAAAAAACATCTTCTGTTAAATCGTTATCATCCGTAGTTATGTTGATAGCGCTACTTACGTAAAAAACGTCACTACCGTACACCAGCACATTATCTTGAACTGCACTTTGAGCGGTACCCTCGGCATCACCACTAAGCAACTCGACATTACCTGTAGAACTAGCCAAGAATACGTCATTTACCCCATTATTATCATCAACTGAGAATTCAGACCCAGCCGACTCAAACACAACATTTAGTCCTTGGCTTGTGACAAAAGCATCTAGCAATGCCGCACTAGCAGACAACTCAGTACCATCAGCAAGAACGCTAAGGCGAGTTAAATCATTAGTACTACTATTAATAGCATATACATCACGAGCATCATTGGTATCACTAGCGCTAGTTAACAGATTGGTGGCACTGGTTTCAAATACCACATGGGTATTGCCATCGGCCAAAGCAACAGCTGTTATTGCGCCGTTGGCAACCTCACCAGTTGCTGCCTCAATTGCATCTACTTGAATACTGCCATCAGCTTGTATAATAGCCACTTTGTTGCTGTAACCAACATTGAAGTTATCCGCTAAAAGGTCTTCGTAGGCGGCCGCCACTATTAGCCCGCTAGAAGTCCAACTAGCATCAATAGCTGTTATATTGACTGTACTACTGTCTCCTTGACCTAGCTCAGTAGAGAAATTGCGAATATAGCTACGCGATAAGGTATCACACAGCAAATATTCAGTCTTTTGGCCTGCACTGCTTGTATTAACAGTGACAGCAACCAACAACTTGGTACCACTTGGTGAAAGATGCAACGGGGTTGTGGCAATAACATGCAAAACGTCATTACCAAACACCGACAGTTCCGGAAAACCGATTACATCCAATTCTGCTTGTAGTTCTAAAGTCATTAGATAGCCCTATTTACAGCAACACGTACAAGTCGCCTGGCAACAAATCTTCAGAAGTGCCATCTAATGAGAACACATCAACAGCAGCACCACTGCCTGCACCATCGGCATCGACCATAAGCACAGAGCGATCTGCATCGAAGATAAATTGAGCGGCAGCATTATCCAAACTGCCACTGTCAATACGCCCAAATTCAACACTGGTCACTGTGCCTGCTGTGTAGCCTGTCAGTGTTTGGGTATCAAACAAGTCATATACCAGAGCATCAATAAGAATCATATCTTCACCACTGATGAAGTCGGTGATGCTATCAACACTGCGCCCACTATCACTAGCAACAAAATGATCACTACCGCGGCCACCAGTCAAAATATCAGTTCCAGCCATACCATCCAATATGTTATCTGCAGAGTTGCCAGTTAAGCTGTTGTCAAAGCCATTACCTTCCCCATCAATGCGATTTAATCCCAGCAACACAAGATTTTCCAAACCGTCTGCTAACGTGTAGTCCAGCGTTGAACGCACTGTATCAATACCAGCACTATCAATAATGATATCGCCAATATTATCTACCACATAGATATCATCACCATCGCCGCCATTTAGTGTATCCAGGCCAATACCACCGTTTAGCAAATTGTTACCAGCATTACCAACAATGCTATTGTTCAAGCTATTGCCACCACCACTGACATCATCGCTACCCGTTAACTCTAGGTTTTCAACGTGACTACTTAGCGTATAAGTTGCGCTAGAACGAACTAAGTCCACTCCTTCGCTAGCGCCTTCTACAACGATATCAGAACGAGAATCTACCACATAGATGTCATCTCCCTCACCGCCAATCATGTGATCACGACCTATGCCGCCATCTAGCACATCGTTGCCAGCACCACCTACCAAGGCATCACTGCCGTCTCCACCTAAGAGCTGGTTGGCACCCAAATTACCTATTAAGACGTTGTTCTCTACATTACCAGTTAGGTTAAGATCTCCACCGCCCAATGCCTCAATAGCTTCCACGTTTTGCGGTGCAGTGTAATCAACATAGGTTTCCACCGTATCGAAACCGCCGCGATCCAGCGATTCCACCACCAAGTCTGCTAGATTATCTACGATATAACGGTCATCACCAGGGCCACCCTTCATTAAGTCGGCGCCAATACCACCATCAATATAGTCATTGCCACCACCGCCATCGATATCATCATTGCCAAGGCCACCTAGTACCGTATCATCACCAGAACCAGCATAGATCGCATCAGCACCATCGTTGGCAGCAATAACATCATCACCACCTAGACCAAACACACTATCATCAACGGAACTACCGTAAATCTGGTCAGCACCGCTAGAACCCATGTTCACCCCAGCTTCACCATTCACACTGATAGAGCTTGTCCAAATTGTTTTGCTGCCACCAGCATCAGTGGCCGACAAACTTAAATCACCAACTGGCCCTTGCACCGCATGGTCAATGGAAAACTTAATACTACCCAAATCAGCCACGGCAATAACATCACCGATATTAGCGACACTATTGTCTGCCAAGAGTATCCAGCCATCTGTTGGCAAGCCTTCAATTACCACGCTGGTTAACACGTCTTCAGCATCAGTAGGTGTCAATAACGATAACGTCTGCACCAATGTGCCACTGGTATAAACCACATTTTCATGACCGTTCGCACCAAATTCAGGCGCATCGTTCACGGCCGTGAGCAAGAAGGAAACTGTAGAATCGCTAGACACACCGCGCGCGTCAATCACTGTGTAGCTAAAGCCACCAGCATTGCCGGCAAAGTCAGCGCTAGAGCTATAAACTAAATCCGCCAATTCATCAGCTGTAAGTACATCCCCCACCTGTAAAGCAGCACTGGTAGCGCCGTTTAATACTTCGCCAGAAGATGGCACTCCCGTTACGGTAATGGTAAAACTATCGCCTTCCGGATCAACAGGCTTATTTAAACTCAAAGATGTCAGGGCTGTATCTTCTTCAATTTCCAATGTCTTGGCGGAATCTATCACCGGTGCACGGTTGTCGCCCACCTCAATAGTGACCATCTGTTCGACCGTTTCGCCAAATTCGTCTTCAGCACGAATCAAAACTTCATAACGGCCGCTTTCACCTGCTGGAGGCTCTCCCATTAAGGTGCCTGTAACGGGATCAAAGCTCATCCAATCTGGTAGGCTTTGATCTCCGTTTAGTACGGCGCTTAAGGTCAGATCACCAGAATCATCACTAAAGGCCGTGCCAGGAATCGCTAATTCAAAGTTAGCATCATCGGCTACTAGCATAGGGTTAGCCAAAATATCCAACCCTACAGTTGGCGCGGCATTACCTAAGTCAGTAGACAGGGAATAGGTTTGATCGGCAAATTCCAAAATTTCTACCCCAGTCAGGGTATCTGTTTCGGTAACTAGAGTACCGTTGATATCGTAGCTGCGGGATACCGTAACCGTGCGATTGGCGGCATTGAAGGCGAGAATATAATCGTTCTTGTTACCATCAAAGACCACCTTATCTGTGCCATTGCCAGCGGCAATGATGTCATCACCACGAGAAGCCGCAATCACGTCGTCACCACGACCAGAAATAAAGTGGTTATCCAAATCGTTGCCCGTTAAGGTGTCATTACCATCGCCAGTGGCGAGGTTTTCGATATCTACCCAGCTTTCAATCGTAGCATCACGCCCATCAATAGTGAGCGTACCGGCAGCAAGATCAATAGTTGAGTTTGATGTTACAGCGGCAGCGTTAAGCCAATCTATACCACCATCATCACGTAAGGATATAGGCTCATTGATATCACCAAATTCATTGGTAAAGATATATTGATCATCTTCCCCATCATCAGCGCCGTAAACTCGTAGGCTCATGCCATAGAGCTTGCCTTCATACTCGGCGCGTACATCACGTATAACTACCTGCCAATCACCAATGGATTCTTCACCATAGAACTGCACACTAGATAGATCAAACACCAAGTGGTTTGGCGTACTA